GCAGCATCAGATTTTTCAAAATCATGCTGGCTTTATGCTGTAAAGCTGTAGTATCCAGCATGCTAGCCACTAGCCACATGTGGCTATTTGGCCGGGAGAGTGTGGCTAGTTGGCTTGAACACTACTATAGGAATTAGCCACACTCAACCAACTACAATAGTGACTACTGCTTCAGAACTGGTTGGACAACATGGCTGTAAAGGAAAACTCCCTTCACATAAAAAGCCAAAAGTCTGTGTTTAATGTGTATGACTATTATAAAATAATTACATATTTTCATGATAATGGAGTTATGCCTCTTACAATATTGGTGATTTTGGCACAATATGCCCTATTTTCACTAACTGTCAGAGATCATTCTGGTCTTAGCCAGAAGAGCAATACTTAACCTACCCCTAAATCATCACTTGTGGTAATTCTCACTGCTACAAGGAAAAAGCAAGTTCAAGAGTAAGATGATTCACAATAGATAAGCAAGCCTTTATTTTTCCATCTCAGCAAGGTGCTCATACCACGATGGCAGGTGGTGTTAGAGACCATTACATTTTACAGAAGCCTTTTGGATATACACTGTTATTTTTAGGATAAGCAAACTACATAGAACAGAGAAAGAAATCAGCCATATTCAAAGCTGTCTGCAAGCTCCCTGAATATATGCCTGCTGGACATTTGCCAGTCTGGGTGAGCTGTGACCAGTGCATGAATGGAGAGAGAAGGGGGCAATGTGGATTTGGTAGTCTGTGGGCAGTTACGAACAGCCTATAGAGACTCTCTGTGTACTCTTGATCAGAAATTCCAGCCTGGCTTTGAGAAATCTACCTGGCTTAAGTTTCCTCACATTTTAGGCTTTGATGAGTCAGTATTTTCTGACAGAAAACAAATTGGGGAAAAATTCTCAACCAGTCTCAACATTGGGTCTCACCCCTAAGGAACATATTAAAGGGGCCTGATTTTCAGAGGGCTGGCGCTCAGCACTTTCTAAAGCTCAGGCTCTTATAAGGAGTCTTGCATTGTCTTCACTTCCAAAGTGAATTAAACTAAAACAAATTAAGTTCAATTTAATTCAGAATAAAGGTGTCTACACAAGGGTTTAAAGTGGCTTTACCTATCCACTTTAAATTCACATTTTTAGTTAATTTGGATTGATTTTCCTGAGAGTCCCCATGTAAAAAAGCATTTCTGTCTGAGGTAAATATTCCTGCATGCTCTTAATTCTATACTTTATTTCCCTAAAGACAACACCTTATGCAAGTCATTTGTTTCCATCTCTCCACACCCATCCTCCCGCTCTCTTTTAAATGGTCTCTCCTTCAGACAATGAATATTATACATACTTTACTAATTCCCAATTTTACTGACATTTTAAAAGACATAGCGGAGTCTTTTCTTTTTTAAAGGAGATAATTAATTCTGGTCTTTAAATATTTTTAAAGTTAAATCTAGCCCAGCTTTGCAAATTTTACCAATTCATTCTACTGTCTGCAAATCACAGCAATATAAATATTGGTATCGTTGTTAAAATGAATTGACCATTTTAATACATGTTGCACAGTACATATTAATACAGAAAAATACATGTTATCAGCAATGCAATGTTGACCATGTACTAATCCATTCCACCTGCTCAAATATTAGTGCAAATAATTATATATTTGTAATGCATCATTGCTGTCTAGTATGATTCTACGCCTCCAGAATAAATGTCTCTTCTCTGAAGTTGTTTGATATTATGAGTAGAGTGCTATATATTCATACTCAAAGTGACTTTGGATGGATAGGTAAGCAGAATAAGCAACCTTCAAAAATCCACTTGTCTAAGACTTAGCAAGTTATTTTAATGAATTGTTTACAATAAAATTAATGTAATAAAAATGTTTCAAATAAAAGCTCATGTTAACTGGCTTTTTCTCTGGCAACAAAATACTAAATATTACAGTGCAAAGTTCAAAATTTCGGCACTTAAACTGGCAAGATCATTTGCCTAACCTAGACTCAAATGGAGACCATCAGTGCTTTCCCCTTAGTAGGCAATGCATAACTCGTTTTGATTTAGACAGACTGTTCTAGCCATGCTGTATTTTAAGTACACTTTCACTCAGTTTGGACTCTCCACTTTCTGTCATCACCCTCCTCTGGAGACAAATAAAAAGAACTTAGTTCTACAGAACTAGACATCACTAAAATACATAGGTGTTTGGGAACAAATGTTCTTACAAGCTGCAGAAGCAAGTTTGGAGATAATCAAAAGGTAATCAAACGGTGAAAGCCATTCCAGTTATTTAAAACCTGAGAACCTAGGCTCTAATGCAAGAGGAATAAAGAGGGATTGGGAGTGAAATCCACTCAACAGCAACACGGCCAATTCTTGCAATTGTTCTATTATTTATTAATATTATGATAGTGCCAACCAAGAATGAGGCACCATTTATGGAGTCAAAGATAACAGCTCCTGCCCCAAAGAGCTTACAGTCTAAACAGGCAAGACAGTAATGGGGAAAAGAGATAAGCAGATCGACCAGGCCTGCAAATGTTAGTCCCACAAATTATTTTATTATTAAATTCACCTCAGAGGAATTGGATTAACGATGCTGATGGCAGAAGCTCCCCATCAGCAGAGCAGTGTCTTCACTAAAGCACTGCGGCAGCACAGCTGCACCACTGTACTGAGGACAAGCCCTTATGGAATGGAGGGCAAGTGCCGGGGAAAAAAAGTCAGCCTGCAGCTCCACTTCCTGCTGGCAATGCTCAGAAGGAAACTACCCCCTGCGAGGTAGAGCTTTACTCACAAGCAGCTGCAAGAGGGGGAAGACTGCAGCCAAGTAGTGAGTTGACAGTAGTAACTAAACTCTCAAACTCCCACACCCACTCTCAGATGAAGTACTAAACTCCCAAACTCTCATTCCCAAAAACTCCTATCTTGAGCGTGAGAGGAGGGGGAAGGGAGATAGTTGCTTGCTTTTCCCCCTGCTATTCAAGGAGATGACGATAAAGCTGGTGCTTGTCCCCCAACAGCCTGTGCTGGTTCCTCTTGTACTACCAAGAGATACAGATTGGCAAAGCCCTTAACACAACATTCCAATGTTACCTCAAAGGTCACTTTTCCTCTAGCAATCCTCCTTGGCAGAGAAGATCATGCTGCATACTAGGTTTATTGCACCTGGCAGAGATGATCATGCTGCATACTAGGTTTATTGCACCCACAGACTGGATGAAGTTAGAGATAGAGCCCACAGGCCAAAGCAGGGCACACTTCCAAAGTAGAGCAGGAAGATCCCCAGCCTCTCGGTCATCAAATCAGATTGTAAGATGCACCTTATTGCCACAGCATTCTCCACAGAAACTGAATGGAAACAGCCAGCATTAAACCTAGGAGTGCACAGCCTGGGCACTGTGTATCCACCCACAGGGGCAGCAGTGAGATCATGATGCAGAAGATGTAGAACTGCTTCTAAGGCAGCTTTCACTGCATTTTAAAGTTTTGAGCAGCAATTAAATAAAAACACAGTAGGTGCCTTATATGAACTTAAGATATAGGTAGAAAAATCAAGTTTTTACCGATTGCGCAATACCCACAGTCAGGTGACATTCTGCATGTTAACATCCTGCAATTCCCATTTCAAACAGTCACATAACCATTCTACAAACCACTGATAGCCTTGAAAGAGAAAACAAGCTTGGCTCTGGAATTTCTTTCAATCTAATTACACTGCAGATTGCTGGTGTGTTTCCTTTTGCTTGCAGTACGCAGTAAAGCCCACGTTCATAGAGTTATCTACCCTTCAGAGCAGATTTACACTCTGAACATAGAAGCCTTCTGTTCATTAAAAAGGATTGCAATCTCCATGATTGGCTAAAATGCCTCACTTCAGAAGTGTTCTCTTTCTCTAGAGCAGGATTTCTCAACCTAATATGGGTAACCATTACATTTCAAAAGGGTCGCCAAGTGTCTCCCCAAGTAGCTCTGCCTTCCCCCCACCCCCATTTTTGAATTGCCTTGGGTCACCAAGTCTTCCTGAATTGTCAAAATGGGTCCCCATCTGGAAAAGGTTGGTAACTGCTGCTCTAAAGCCTCGTTTAATATAAGGATTGGATCTTGTATGGAGAGTTCTGATCTCAATCCTGACTGTTCTTCCATATTGTTGATATATGGGCCAAGTTAAATCATCTTTTAGGACTCTAGCCTTCCCTTTTCAGATGCCGGGCTTCTTTAATTACAAATTGTTTGTCCTGCAAACCCTTTCAGTGCATGTCATCTTCATGGTCTTTCTACTTACTACCCTCTTTTTCTAACTACCTAAAGCTTCCATTTCTCAATCCTTGTCTACTACCACCTCTTCTGTTCCCTGACATTTTTTCTTCTATATTTGTTGAGTGACATTGTTGTGAGAGCCTGCTTTTTTCTGCCCTCTGCACTTATGCAAATACAATACCAAGTCATGTTAATAAATTATAGGACTTATAAAAACACAGTTTATTTTCCAACCTATAATAATTTACTGCAAAACCATTTTAACCAATTGGAGACAGCATAATTACACACACATACCCACGCCTCCACTTAAACATTCACTTGGCTGCCAGCCTGTTAAATGTCAATGTTCCAAGAGCGCACATTGGAAAGGTAGGACTTTTAACTCATTACATAAACATAAAAGGGCATATTTGTATTTTTGATAGTACTTCTATTATTCAAAAACAACTGGGAATATTTTCCTAAATTAGATGCTATAAAAGCTATAAACTTGAAAAATGTATAAAAATTATACCTCTCCCATCCCAACTCAAAATTAATTTTTAAAGTAATATTCATGGTAATAATAGTCCCTTATATAAAAGTTTTGTGTTGTGTTCTTTATTTTGTTGTTTAGAAGTGGGATGGGAAGGCCCTCACTATCATTAAATTTGTTATGTAAAATTACTTAATTTTTTCAACAAAGGGGATTTATATATCTGAGTATAAAGATAAGAATACGGAAATGAAATGGAATGAAAAAGGCATGTGGAGGGAATATTTTTTATTGTTTACATATCTAAGTAGTTACCTATTGTTACCTCATCCTTATTTTGAATGGACATAAAGAATATTGCACTGAACTTATGCATGGAAAACACCACAGGTAAAGTAAACAATAGTGAGTACATTTTATATAATTTTCAAATAAAATTCAAAACAAGAAATTTACAACACAAGACATTTTGAAGTACTTCTGTAATTTGCAGTGTTAAAATGTTGCCTAGTGGTTTGTTTACTGTTCTGAAGCATTAACAAATTGATACTTTTTGTACAAGATTTTATATTGGTTAGTAAAAGCCACTGTCCTAAAATTATTGGCTTTAAGTTACAGAGGTAACAGAGGTATAATTTGAATTCACATCAGAGCTTTCTAAAAATGGCAACAGTACAAGCATGTGCCCCCTCCAGCTTCCAGAACTCTCTGTGATTCTGCCATGGCCCAGGAATAGAGCTATACATCTGAACAAAACTGCCACAGTTCCCAGAATATTTTGGAAGAAATCCTGGCAAACATAATTTCTCTTACCAATATAATACTCTGCTCAATATAAAATAAAGGAAAAAATAATATTGACTGAGCCTGGGAAGTTTTAAAAAAAATTTGGCAAAAGAGAGCTGTAACTGAGGGACAAGGCAGATTTTAGGAAAATTTACTCTGAAGAAATAGAAATTCTCAGAAAATATGCTAAGCCTACAGATGACCCACACAGTGATGGTGAGTGGAATTGAGAACACTGAAACAACGCAATGTTCCTATCTGGTTTTCACAGGAACTCTCTTGCTGTAAAGAGGTCTCTACTTATTACAGATTTTTCAACTGTTGGGAAATATTACCCCATCCCCCCTACTTCAACTACTGTACCCAACACTGATCCATCTCAGAGGCACCTTGTGTATATTCCTATTGTTTAAATACACATACAATAATAGTTATTCCCAGCATTAAAGTTATATCTGGAGAATAGAAGCGTCTGCATCTTTAACTATTTCATGTTGCTCAGATACTGAAATTAATTTAACTTTAGGACAGGTAATTTGAGCTATGGATTTTTGCTAGATTTAACTCAAATACTTCCCATATACAGATGAATGTGTGGGCTCTCTCTCATCCATTCACTTCTGTTACTATCCCAATTTGTTTATGTACAGAATAAAAAACAGAAACAACTTTCTATTATGTTAAACAACAAGCATCTTCACCTTGCAGTAATGAAATCTAAAGCTAGGTGGTTGCATTCATTTTAAATATGTTCCTAAATGAAAGGTGCTATTATCTGACAGATAAACAGAGTGCCAAGTGTTTGTACAGATCTGATACATTCCAGTGGGCTCCAACAACAACAAAAAAACCCTCTCCAATTAAAGTTCTGTACAATGAATAAATTACATCTTTCTTGGGATAGTGTTTCTGTTACTCCAACATCTCAAAGAAATTCAAAGCTAATTAATTAAAGCAAGAAATTGTATTGAGTGGGAAACATTTTGAAAGAATGAAATTACTTAGAAACACCAATCAACAAAGATAATTTGATTATGATTAGCTGCGCTGAAGTTGAAGTCATTAAAATTGATGAAGAATGTTTTTACACAATTCTATTCGTGTAATCCATTACCTATGCTATGCTCTGTAGTTAAAGTCTAACAAATGGTATCAGATAATTCAAGATTGAGGACTAAAATACTTTCAGTTAATCACTTGCCTTTCTCCACCAACATTTTTCCAATGGAAAATTAGTGGCATGTAGTTTATGGGATATGAATTAAGGATTAGCTCTTCTGACCTTATTCAAATAAAGTCTGGTTTAAATATGGCTGCTGTTTTGTTCTGAACAGTCATTGTCCCACAAAAATTACAACTGTTTAATAAAATCACTCCCTGTGCTTTTAAACACCCACTGCCTGGCAATGGTACATCATTTTTCATCAGTACTCTCAGCTGAAGTGGCGAGCAAGGCGAGCAGATCTATAATCAGCTCGCAGCTGAACAAAGGAGTGAAGGATGTTCTTGTCCAGATTAGCAAGTTGTTCTCCTGAGCAGACCTGCTTTAAGTTATCAGGTGCTACAACCAAAAGATTGCAAAGTGCATGGAGGGTGTCAAAAAGCTGTAGCACAAGTGGAATCTGTATGGAGAGAGAGGAAAAAAAAAAACAGTAAAAATGCACAAAGTGTCAGTTTTATAGTGAATTAGATGCTGCAAAGATCATCTAGAATATTAGTACTAGCTTCCACACAGGACTCATTTGCAGTAAAAAATGCACAAAGTGTCAGTTTTATAATGAATTAGATGCTGCAAAGTTCATCTAGAATATTTGTACTAGCTTCCACACAGGACTCATTTGTGATTTCTGTACAAAAAGGATTAAAGCAATTTTCAAAAGCCAGATTTATTTTTTTAAAAGGGTATATGAATTTGGGTACTTTTGTTTTAGAACAAAATGAGAGGTATGACCATTAGGAGAATGTTTAAAAATCATTCAACAAAAAACAAAACAAACGACCACCACTCACAAATATTATAGTTACACTTGCCAGAGGATGTTGTCAAGTCCAAGATTATAAAAAAGTTCAAAGAAGAGCTACATAAATTCATGGAGGTTAGAACCATCAATGGCTATTGGCCAGGATGGGCAGGAAGGGTGTCCCTAGCCTTTGTCAGGAGCTGGGAATAGGCAACAGGGGATGATCACTTGATTAATTGTTCTGTTCATTCCCTCTTGGGCACTTGTCATTGGATACTGTTGGAAGACAAGATATTCAGCTAGATGGACCTTTGGACAAACCTAGTATGGTTGTTCATATGTTCTGATTTATGACTGAGGTGGTATTTTTAAAATATCCAATTACATGCAATTATGGTTTTATGGAAGTTACCCACTTCTCATTTTTGTTAAAGCTAAGTTTTATTTTTGTTATACCGCTGTGAAAAAGTAGCTAACACAAATTTTTTAGATTTTATTTTTGTGCTACCCAATGACATGGCCTTGATTTATTTAAGCTTCAAAACTATGAACCTAACTTTCATTAAGGATAAAGTCCAGCACAGGAGAAGGTACAGCAGAGGGCAACCAAAACGATTAGGGAGCTGGAGCACTTGACTTATGAGGAGAGGCTGAGGGATTTGGGCTTATTTAGTCTGCAGAAGAGTAGAGTGAGGGGGGATTTGATAGCAGCCTTCAACTTCCTGAAGGAGGGTTCCAAAAAGGATGGTGAGAGGCTGTTCTCAGTAGTGACAGATGACAGAACGAGGAGTAATGGGCTCAAGTTACAGTGGGAGAGGTCTAGGTTGGATATTAGGAAAAACTATTTCCCTAGGAGGGTGGTGAAGCACTGGAATGGGTTCCCTAGGGAGGGGGTGGAATCTCCATCCCTAGAGTTTTTTTAAGTCCTGTCTTAACAGAGCCTTGATGGGATGATTTAGATGGCTTTAGTTCTGCTTTGGGCAGGGGGTTGAACTCGATGGGCTCCTGAGGTCTCTTCCAAATCTATGATTCTGTAAGTACTTCTGCTATTTGAAGAAGCTTGGTTTGAAAATGATAAAAATGTGTCTGATTCATAACTCTTTAAAAAGCACAGAACAATGAAAGATATGGAGTCACCGGGAAGCTTCTGTTCCATTTTGTAACACAAGAAAGAGCAGGTGTTCGGCTAAATTAAATAAGGCAAATTCAAAAACAGGAGGAGGAGGAAATACTTTCATACAACATTTAAGTAAACTGTGGAACTCATTGCCACAGGAAACAATGAGGCCAAAAAGTTAGCAAAATTCAAAAAGGGATAGGATATATTGGATAAAAAGAATATCCAGAGTTATAATATTTGATGGTAACAAATTTGAGAAGAGACTAATCTTCACGTTTGTGGTTTTAAATCTCTAATTAAAGGGATTACAAGGATACTTAATATGCTACTTAAAATGCAGAGCAGATTATCTAATGCAGAGTTTCTTGCACCTGCTACTGAAGCTTCTGGTATTGGGTTGGCCAATGTTGAAGACAGAATACTGGACTAGATGGACTACAGGGCTTATCCCATATGAGAGTACCTATGTTTCTAACTTAGTTCAATGTGCAATCTTACATACACATGAAAACACTGTCTTGAATTACATTCAAAATAATGCATATTGATGTTAGGCATTTGCTACTTCCTGCCAAAACCCCCATGACCCTGACCCACTCTACCAGAAGTGTCTGTAAAAAAAGAAAAAAAGAGCTGCAGCAAGTCTAAACCTCCAAGAACTATCTAGAGGCCACCCAAGGTCAGCTACTGGAAGCACCAATAAGGACTAGTTCTCCAGCAGCTTGAAGGGCTGGAAGCAGGCAGAAGCTAATCAAGTCCCAGCAGGTAAGATAAAATGGACTGGCTGCTCCTTCCAAGGTTTCTGGTTGAATTTGGGGGCAGGGAGGAAGGATTTCCCTTGCTTTAACCCAAGAAGCTTGGCCTACTCAGAGACCTAATTCTGAAACCACCATTTGCTTAAGCTACCAAAGTACTTACATGTTTTGGAATTGTAAATCCCAAGTGGCTGTTATGACTTATAAAATCAGGGCAAGCTTGTTTCATGAGACACTCAACTGGCTCAGGCAAGCTTGCAACACAAAACAAGTGAATTTAGGAAACAGACGCAAGAACTATTCAGAAGAGAAGGTCTTGCTGGCATCATTTATTAAATGACTAAAGGTGCTGCCATGGCACTACAATAATCTAAAATCTAAAATTTATGGTAGACTGTGAATAAAAAGGCAAAAGATGTGAAATGTGGTTACATGAAAAAATTTTTTCACTATACAGGTATTTTATGTATGCCTCTACAGCACCCTACATATTAAATTCACATTCACTAACCTTAAAGTCTTTGGCACATTTTCTGTATTCAGCCACATCACAAATTGCTAACATGCCTCCCATGCAACTGTAGGAATATTGCTGCAGATGTTCATATATAAGTCGATGAAAACGAACTCCAAGCTCCATCAGAACTGTATCCACATTCTTACCATCCATAGAATTTCTAATCTTTTCTACTTGCTTTCTGACATAGCCACATACTTTGACACAGGCCTATAAAGAGATTGCATGTAAGTTAACAGAATACAGAGACTTTTTCCCCACTTAATTATTTGGAAAGCAAAGTCTCAGATTAATCAAGAGCAAAGCATAGAGCACTGGTTCACATATTCTGGTCTGTGAATCACCAACCGACCACTTGCTGCTAATGTTTCTCGTTTTCAGCAGAAAAACTGCATTGAAAGGCATCATATATATAGTAGCCCAATGTCTGTGACTCTGTAATGCTGAAATACTTGCGCTGCTTGCTCCCCTGCGGCGGCCTGGGTGAGCGGCGCAGAAGTCAGCCGAGCGCCACAGTGGGAGGAGAAGGGGGGCCGGGGCGGTGACATACATGGCCAGGGAGCAGGGCCTGACCATGTACATCACCGCCCCTTCCCCTTTCACCTCCCACCATGGTGCTCGGCTGACTTCTGCGCTGCTCAGCTGGGCTGCCACAGGGGCCTCTGGGGGGCGCTGTTACCTGAAATGCTGGCTGTTCCCTCTGGGGGGCGCTGTTACCTGAAATGCTGGCTGTTCCCTCTGGGTAGCGCTGTTGCCTGAGTCACGTCCTTCGCCTCCTGCCGTGGCGCTCGGCTGACTTCTGCGCAGTTCAGCTGGGCCGCCGCGGGGGAGCAAGCAACCGTTTGGGCTCCACGCTCCCCCGAGTGAGAGAGAGAGTAAGAGTGAGAGTAACCGGAGGCTCAGGAGAGAAGACCAACGTGGAGGAGAGACCTAAAAATCCTGTCTTATGACAGGCTAATTGGCTAGTCTACAAATACTTCCCTAATATTACTTTTTGGGTAAGCAATCATTGCAATCATCACAGGGAAGACCTACAAATGAAAAGGCAGAGTCATGACAAATTCTGTATTAAGTTATGGTCCATGCTCATATAGACTGTATTTTGGAGAAGGGGCAATTTGTGCTTTTACAGCACCTTGCCCAACCTGACTGAGGCTGATGAACACTACTATTATACAACAAAACTGATAATATCCCCTCCAAATTTTAGATCTGCCTTGTTGAAGGAGTTTGCGAATCCTTGGTATAGAGTTTAACAAACTTGAATGTTAACCAGATGTACATGTAATTGCATGTATACTATCAAAATACGAACACTGCTCGAATTATCTTCAAAATGTGACACTTTTTTAGTGCCAAATCTGTATTTGTTTACTCACATTCGTATACTGAATTACAACACTGTTTTCATCTTCTGGTTTAAAATCTGTCTTCTTTTGCTCTGCGGTCAAGATGTGCTTCATCTGTCCAATCATACAATTTAGTGTCCTTTAAATTTAAAATATATGATGTGTGTTTCAAATTGAAAGTTTACATTTATTTGGTTTTAACATTTACAAATTCTAAAGTGATCCCACATAAAATATAAAAGTGATTAGTGCACAGCGAAAGAAAAATTCCCCCTTATCCATCACTTCTACAAATTCATGAACATTAAATGAACTTTACAACTGAATATAAAAAAGAATATTTTGAAGCTGCTTTGCAATGCAGTTTACTACACGAGACAAGTGTGTTTTTCTGAAGGTGGTAGGGATATGAGAGTCAGACAGAAGTGTTGGAGAAGTCTCTGTGTCAAAGTTCTTTAACATGGAGTGCAAGAGAGTATGTGTTTTTTCCATTCATAAAAATCACCCCATTTTACGTGGGAGGTAACTGAGGGACAGATTAAATGAATCCCTCAGTCTTGGAGCAAATCAATGTCAAATCCAAAACTGACTCCCAAGATATGCATTATTGATCACTGTGTCACTCAAGCAAGTCACTTAATCCCTTTCACAGTCTGTCACACACACTGTTCTTTAAATATTTTAAAATTTCAAGTTTTAATATTCTGCATGTGGACTTCCCTCCCACAGCCCGAATACAGGAAGTTTGTGGGGGTAACTGTTTTTTAGATACACAGAAGAAAATTGTGAATTCTCTCATACCCTAAAAATAAAAGTGGATGAAGGATTTTGCTCACTTTTACCAAAAATATTAGTCTCAGGTCAAAAATCAAGCATGGGAAAATTCTAACAACTTCAATATGATCTCTGATTTTCTGTTTGAATTTCAAAAGAAAAATTCTTTTGTTCTAAATGATTACTTCCCAGCAGGAAAAACAGGCTAATGCAAACTTTTTGTTAAAAATAAATAGAGCAGTTATTGATGGGAAGCTTAAAACTTCACTTGCCTATCAATGCCCACATCCAGTTTCATCTCCATTTGTTCTATTATATCCTTTTTCTTCTGAAGGCATTCTGATAACTTAGGAGATGAGCTATGAAATATTAGGAGAAAATCATAATAGTTAAATACAATGCAAATCAAATAAATCTACTTTGGATTCCAGTAACAACAAGAGCACTTCAGGATTCTACTAGGGATGTAAAATTCTGTTTAATTAGTTAACTGGGTAAACATTAACTGATTAAATGGGTATGGGCTGGAGTGCCCCCTCTTCTGGCCTCGCAAGTGGCTGCCGGCTCCTAGGCTGCATGGGGCCAAAGCAGCAGCCCCATACAGGAGCATGGTGGGGCTAGAGCAGCCCTCTGCCCGCAGCAGGTCACAGGCAGGGGACTGCTCCCCAGGTACCAGTTAACCATTACCTAGTAAGCATTCCCCACTAAAGATAATGCTTCCCGAGTAACCAGCTAACTAGTTACCCATTAGCATCCCTGGATTCTACCCCATTCTCTTCCAGAAAGGACCAGACTGGAAGCAGTTACCTGTGTTTGTAATCAAGAACTAATAGATGGAGCTTCTTCAAAAGCCAGAAGGCCCCACAACTGTATTTGATGAACCAGAGGGGAGAGACGCTCTGCTTTAGTTCAGAGGGAGTTGGCCCTGGACCGAGCACTCTGTTTCCATATTGCTGCCAGCCCTCAGCAGCCCAAAATGTGAACTAAGACTGCTGCACATGCCAACATGTGGCACATGAGCATTACAAACTTATCTTCTAAATATACTGATCAGAAATCAGTTTTAAACAAACTGCTTTCTACAACTTCCATCATCATTTGAATTATTCTTCATGCAAATGTATTTTAGTAAAAATACTGAACTGTATTAATAGTAACACAAATGAAGTTAATAATTTCTAGCAACGATTACTATATATATTCATAGAAGGACTGTACAACAGAACACCTGACATACCTGATTAATGGCATGAGATGATCATTAAACTGCTTGTCAAACAAGTGGAAAATAGTATTGGCCTGGTGTACAACATCCAGAAAATAAAGGTTTGCACTCTTAGAGTCAGGAGAAGGAATGCCTAAGGTGGAAACATTTATTTAGGATCATAAATAAATAATGCATCTAATTTGTATCACTATCCCTTCTAAGGATCAGGGTAAAAATTTTCCAAAATACTAAAATGAGAGTCAGGCTTCTGGCATGTAGGTTTCTACGAACTTCAGTCATATTTGAAAATGGGTGATGATAGGCATATAAGAGGATATCTACACTAGAAACCTTCGTCTACCTACATTAAGGTGACTTACAACCAAACAGTGGTTCATGACTACATCACCCTCCTTCTCTCAGTGGTATGTATCCTTACCAGGAGTGCTTGGAGCAGCATGAGGGAGATGAGAGCCCAGACTCATTTCCATATGAAGCTACTCATTGGGATGCCCGGCTGCCCCCTTAGCGCTCAATTCCCTGCCAGTGGAACTCTCCCTGCAGGGAGCCACATGGGCGCAAGAGGCACAGGGAGCCTGGGTAGCAGGTAGGCTGGGAGCCAGAGTGCAGCCAGGCTCTAAGCAGGGCAAGTGCAACTAGGAACAAGCAACCCAGGAGCAACGGGGATGCCCCGATTTTCTTGTCAATAAATTGACACAAATGACAGCCAATAGTCAGTGTAAGTAATGCAACACTGTGTCACCCTAACTACGCTGACATAAACCCTATGCCTCTCGCAGAGGTGGAGTTATTATGTCAGTGTAACAGGGCACTTACATGGGTGGGAACAAGGCTGTAGTGTGTACAATGACATAATTAGGTTGAGGTAAGTTGCCTTATGTTATCCTAATTCCGTAATGCAGACCAAGCCTAAATCACGAAATTTTTTAAATAAATTACCTAAGCCTATATACAATATTCCTTGTATGCAGACAGTACAAATGGACCCACTAATTTTAAGAAAAATTCTGCTGATCAGTGAAAGGCAGTTAATTGTACTAAAGACTCATAACTATGTAACCACGTCTACTTTATTCTTCAAGAGAGCCGAAAAAGAGAAAAAAAAAATCTTACTTTGATAATTTTCCCTAAAATATTAAAATATGTACACACATACCACAGAGGGAGAAAAAAAATCTTACTTTGATAATTTTTCCTAAAATATTAAAATATGTACACACATACCACAGAGGATTTTAAAAAGTAAATAAATACTGGCAATGAGGAAAGTATCTCTGTATGAGAAATGTACCTCTACACAACATATGCATGTACATACAGACTTTAAATAATCTTCTTTTATGGAGATGAAAGGAAGGGAATGATCACACTCAGATTCTTATGATACAGGAATTAAAGCCCCCAGATATTTCTGAATAATGAATAATTGTCTTTCAATCTGTATTGGTTTTCCATATGCAAGGTGTGTTTCAGAAGCTTATACTTTAATTTTTTTTTTTTTTTGGAAGTCAATGAATACCTTTAAATCAATATACTTCACACAACACTCACTTGCAGAGATCTCAAAGCCAAACACTGAACAATATAGAGTGCTCTGTAGCACTGAATGCATTGACCAATGAAATTAGAAATATTAATATGTGATTCTTTATAAAGTAATACCACACATTTAAGAAAATAGACAGAATTATGCTTACCAGCAAGCCCAGTTTCCAAGGCATAATCAATATGTTCAATACACAAGAACTCCACAAGCATGGAAAAAATTCTGAATGCATTCTTCGGTAAATCAGAAGGATCAGAGAGCTTTAAAAAGAACAAATATTTTGATACTTAGTGGTAGGAAATCATTGTTTGAACTTGAAGTTTATTTAAAGTACACAAGCTATTCAAAATAACTCCATATATGGACACGCTTGTAAGTTTGAGCAGGTAGTTGTGCTCAGAGTTTTAGAGCTGTATGTTTCAATAATGGATACATGGTTACTATGACTGTATTCAGTGTCAAGGTAACAGTGCACATCTAACTTGTTTTTTGTATGGTCAGTTACCATGAGCACCAACAATTCCAGTAACAGCACAATGAGAGTAAATTTTTATATTCACATAGTTCTAAAAATCAGGTCCTATATATTTATGTAGCAAAATCTTATGATCTGCATTTCCTTTTTAAAAAAAATAAAAAACAAACACTACCACCACTTGCGCTTTCAGAACTTAAAAGAAGTGGTTCTTAAAGTTGTCTGAACAAAGCAACTGGACTTTGGTTCTTTGTAGTGTAGAACATCTGCAAAAAGTAAGGCTAGTATAAACCTTTATAGCACAGAAGGCCTGGGTCACTGCCATTTGGAGTCAAATGTATGCTTAGTTTAGTTAGTTAAATAAATATTATAAAATTAAACAAATGCTTTCCCATGAAGTTACTAATTGGTAATATTCATTGCCTTGAGAAGTTATTTTATGTCTCCCTGACAAATTGTGCTTTAAAGTTCGTAGTTTCATACGTTTTAGTTTTGAAAGTGCAACATTTATTCACGCATGCAGAAATACGTCAATTTATTTTACTCTAATTGTACAAACAAATCAATCTCAGGCTGAGAGCAATCTTGAGAAATTTCATCCCATAAGGAATTTGTTTGAAAAATAATTATGCATAGGAACGTTAGAGCAGAAGTTAGAAAGGGGCTACAATTACAGCAGTTTTTACTAACGATCACTAAAATGATAAAATAACTAACTTGTCTATGCATCATACTGTCACTTTGACAGTCTCAGTGCTAAATCAGCTGTTACTTGAAAATTAACCAGCGTTGTGTCTATTTCTGTTATAACCATGGTTAAATTATATCTTCTCAATATCTAAAATATTAAAAGCTATTTATTACACTGAGAAGGTTCAACAAAATATCTGGAGTTTTTTGTTTTATTAATTTTAAGGATAATTCTTGCAAATAGATGTGTGTATATGAAAAAATGGTTTTGGCTTTTCTTTAACTTAAAGTTCATAATTAAATCTAAGGGTTTATTAAACCTTTAAAGCACTACACCCACACACCAAATGAGTCGCAAAAAAACCCTGTGATTTAAATCAGTAATAAAATTCAGTTTTGTACTAGGAACAAACATTTTAAAACAGCAAAGGATTAAAAGAAGACAAACAATGCAACAGCAAAGATTATTCCCTCAGGCTCTCAATAGTAGTATTCAATAATAGAAAACTGATACATGTGACAGCTGAATGTTTGTAGGGAGTTTTTTTAATTTTATCTAAATTAATCTTATTTTAGTCAGAATTTAAAAACAAGAAGTTACATTTGTACAATCTACCATAAAGTTGTTACACTAAATGCAAATCAATTTTAAGGGCTGGTTTAGAAACAAAAACAATGTAAAATGCTATTTGTACTTCAATTAGTTATAGTATTTTTAAAACAAATGGTCATATGTTTCCCGTAACTCATTTCTGTTAAACAAGAAGTCTAAAAACAATGTTTTACACTACATCAAAATGACCCTAATTTTAAAAAGGTAATTCATTTAATTAAACAATACTCAAATCCCCTCACATCCTATTAGACGTCAACTAATGGTAAAAAAAAGATGTGCTCTTTAAATCGAGGGTGCGAACAGTTTTTCTTCTAGTTCCATGGTGTCCAGCATGCTAGCCACGTGTGGCTATCTGACCGGTTGAGTGTGGCTAGTTCGCTATAGCAGTGGCCACTATTGCGCTACTGCTTCAGAACTGTTTAGACACCAATGTATCTAGTTCAATTTTGTTTGTGTGCCCCATTCAACCTACAGAAGTTATAGAAAGCAGACTTACTCTATGACATCTTTCAAAAGCTTGCTTGGTTTCTTGTAAAAGGTTAACCACCACATCTTGGGAGAGAAAAGTTTCCCCATGGGTATCAATACTTGGACCCAATGACAAGTTTGTACGTTGTCTTATTCTCTCTTTCAGATCTTGAATACTAGAACAGAATACACCAGAGGGAAAGCTCATTGGGAGGAAATGTTAATGTTCAAGTATAACAATGCCTTGGGAATATTATAGTAGTTAATCAGGTAAATAGAAGCCTAAAACAAAACTTAATAGGTGCATAGCAATATTCTGAATTAAAATTTAACTCTTAAGACAGTCTTACAAAGTGGTCAAGACAATCTTACTAGGGCAGGCAAAAACTTACTGACCTTGTATCAAACATGTTAGCGCACACAACCCACTCCCCACGTCCCACAACCACACTATTCTGGCATGCTCCTCCATACCCTGGGAACCCTGTCATTGCATGACAAGTAATTCCCAGTGAGTTCAACATTATATATTGTTGTGGGAGGTCAGCCACCCCAAAGACACTCACTTCATGCACACCTCTAAAACACAGACAACGAGCCCATTCGACTCATCTCAAACCAAGTTTCTGTCTCTTACACCCTCACATGCACCCGACAATCATACCATCCCAACTTTTACTCAACAGGCAGACCAGCCTCTGTCTCTCAAGCCCGACTCACCTACAAGCATACGCACCATAATTCAGTCGACAGTCATCTTACTTGGTTATTAAAAGGTAATAACAAAATGTTGTTTAAGTACATCAGAAGCAGGAAGCCTGCTAAACAGGCAGTGGAGCCCCCTGGACGATTGAGATACAAAAGGAGCACTTAAAGATGATAAAGTCATTGCAGAGAAACTAAATGAATTCTTTGCTTCAGTCATCACTGAAGACTATGTTAGGGAGATTCCCAAACCTGACCCATCTTTTATAGGTGACAAATCTGAGGAATTGTCACAGATTGAAGTGTCATTAGAGGAGGTTTTGGAATTGATTGATAAACTTAACAGTAACAAATCACCAGGACTAGATGGCATTCAGCCAAGAGTTCTGAAAGAACTTAAATGTGAAATTGCGGAACTATTAACTATGGTTTGTAACCTATCCTTTAAAACAGCTTCTGCATCCAATGACTGGAAGATAGCTAATGTAACGCCAATATTTAAAAAGGGCTCTAGAGGCAATCCCAGCAATTACAGACCAGTAAATCTAACATCAGTACCAGGCAAATTAGGTGAAACAATAGTAAAGAATAAAATTGTCAGATACATAGAAGAACATAATTTGTTGGGCAAAAGTCAGCATGGTTTCTGTAAAGGGAAATCATGTCTTACTAATCTATTAGAGTTCTTTGAAGGGGTCAACAACCATGTGGACAGAAAGCCTTTGACAAGGTCCCTCACCAAAGGTTCTTATGTAAATTAAGTTGTCATAGGATAAGAGGGAAGATCCCTTCATAGATCGAGAACTGGTTAAAAGACAGGAAACAAAGGGTAGGAATAAATGGTAAATTTTCAGAATGGAGAGGGGTAACTAGTGGTGTTCCCCAAGGGTCAGTCCTAGGACCAATCCTATTCAACTTATTCATAAATGATCTGGAGAAAGGGGTAAATAGTTAGGTGGCAAAGTTGCAGACAATACTAAACTGCTCAAGGTAGTTAAAACCAAAGCAGACTGAAGAACTTAAAAGAGATCTCATAAAACTAATTGATTGGGCTACAAAATGGCAAATGAAAGGTAATGTGGATAAACGTAAAGTAACGCATATTGGAAAAAATAACCCCAACTATACATACAACATGATGGGGGCTAATTTAGCTACAAACTAATCAGGAAAGAGATCTTGGAGTCATCATGCATAGTTCTCTGGAGACGTCCACGCACTGTGCAGCAGCGGTCAAAAAAGCAAACAGGATATTAGGAATTATTAAAAAAGGGATAGAGAATAAGATGGAGAATATCTTTTTGCCCTTATATAAATCCATGGTACTCCCACATCTTGAATACTGCATACAGATGTGGTCTCCTCATCTCAAAAAAGATATATTGGCATTGGAAAAGGTTAAGAAAAGGGTAACAAAAATGATTAGAGGTTTGGAATGGGTACCATATGAAGAGGGATTACGAAGATTGGGACTTTTCAGTTTGGAAAAGAAAGGGGTAAATAGTTAGGTAAAGGGGTAAATAGGAGATTAAGGGGGGAAATGATATAGGTATATAAACTCATGAGTGATGTGGAGAAAGTAAATAAGGAAAAGTTATTTACTTATTCACATAATATAAAAATTAGATGCCATCAAATGAAATTAGTGGGCAGCAGGTTTAAAACAAATAAAAGGAAGTTCTTCTTCACACAGCGCACAGTCAACCTGCGGAATTCCTTGCCAGAGGAGGCTGTGAAGGCTAGGACTATAACAGGGTTTGAAAGAGAATTAGATAAATTCATGGAGGTTAAGTCTATTAATAGCTATTAGCCAGGATGGCAAAGGAATGGTGTCCCTAGCCTGTTTGTCAGAGGGTGGAGATGGACGGCAGGAGAGAGATTGCTTGATCATTACCTGTTGTGTTCCCTCCCTCTGGGGCACCTGGCATTGGCCACTGTCGGAAGACAGCATACTGGGCTGGATGGACCTTTGGTCTGACCTGGTATGCCATTCTTATGTTCATTTATTGTTTCCCCTGCAACATGCAATCTCTTCCTGCAAAGGCATTATTTTTCTCTTCCTTCCCTTCCCACAGGTCAGTTATCTTCTGTGACCCACCAAATCCATTGCAGCTCTTCAAGTATGCAGCAACCTCAACACCTCTCCCATAGCTAGATTTCAAGTGTTCTCCCAATGGCAGGTACCTCATCCCTCCTTCTAGCTGCTCCAGTTGCAGCACCACAGATTCCCAGTCCCCAAGGAGGACTATTGGGATAAGATGATTTAATTAACAATATGTAGAGCCCTGCACAGATTAGGGATGCAAGCAACTAGCTGACTACCCGATAAGCATTTGCTTATCGGGTAGTCGAGTAGGAATTTGACTAGTTGCTTTCTTGCCCTTGCTGCCTCTATCAGAGAGAGGCAGCAAGGGGAGGAGCACAAGCTGGTGCTGGAGGGAGCCGACTTAAAAGCCAGTCTCCCCACTAGCACCGTCTCTGTGGGGGGCAGGAGCCAAGGGCCAGCGGGGAAACAATGTGAGCGGGAATTGAAACAGTGGAAATTCCATCAACTACTCGATTAGCTCATTAATCAAAATTTAACTTCCCTAGCACAGATACAAAATATGTATCTGTAGCCAATCAACCATTTGCAGACATGGCCTATGGATACAAAGAGAATATCTATAGATTTGTAGGGTTCTATTAATAGGAATGTTTTATTTGAAAACTGGACTCAAGAGGACTGATGTCATCATTTATCAAATCCAGGTGGCACTTTTTGGTCATATAGCCCACTCTGGAGATAAAATCCCTGCACATTGAGTCCTGAAGATTGGACTTGAGGTCAGAAGGGGACATTGTGTGAGCACAGGGTCCATGGTTAATCTGGCTGCACCAGAACAATAATAATCCTGCAGAGCTTTTAGATGCCCAAACCAAGTGGTTGTTGCTGAGGAAGAGAACCAGGCATCTAGCTCTGGCCCTCTCGGATCCTGGGTTTTTGGGGGGATTCCTCCCTTTATACAGGGCAGAACTGCAGGACGAATCCTACTCCTGCTCCAGTTAGCAGGGATAAAAGGAGAGAACAGACATGATCCAGGGAAGGGGGGGGGAATTAAAACTGATGTTCAACCCCTTCTTTCTATGCAATCAAAAGACAGTGAGGCTGAAGGATCCAGTAAGACCTATTGAAGCTCTCCTTCAGGCCAACAGTGACTACACTGACTACAGCGGCTGCACAAACCACTAAAATAATGGTTAGGTACCTCCCGTTTGTTTTTGCTCCATGAAGGCTAACGAATGAGAAAATTTAGATAATGCAATTAGTCATATTCGCCCACAGCTTCCTATTTGCCCCAGATGAGTGGGATTATGCACAACCATCTTAAAACATATACATGAAAAACAAATGTAACTCCTTCATATGCAAAAGGAAAGAATATGTAACTGCTAACACACTTTCAGTTGTGCAGAGTCTACATTTCAAAGATCCTACATTGTGTCTGTCTGATTTGATCATCTTAGACTCAAATGTAAGGCTTCTTCACGGATGGGATATTTTGCAGAAAATTTCTGAGGCACCTGAAAAACTGCTGCTATTCAGCTTTTAGTAGTCAACTGTTGCACAAATGGTTGTGTGATACCAGTATATTTTTGGGTGTGTCAGTCTTTAACCTTATTACAGCTACATAATAAGCCCAAGAAAGATATTAGATTAAAAGTATTTTACTTAGTGCAGAAAGGTCTGCTAGATACTAAGGCTTACATTTGAAATTACTTGCTCAAGACATTTAATTTAATTTTATGAGACTATATAATGGATTATATCTAGCATTCCCTTTGTATCCAGGGGAGCAAACCTTTCAGTATAAGCTAATGTAATTTGACAACACAAGGAATACAGAAAACAAAGATGGTGTTGAAAACCAGCTTTTATGTAGATGATCAATGTACAGTTTAAGTGATGTTAACTGTGTTTTTCCTCTTTATTATATTTTTTTCTCTTTAAAAATAAACTCACCCTCCAGTGCTAATGGACCTCTTCTGGTGGTTTTTGGAATCATAATAACGTTGCAGAATCATAGAGCTCCTACTTTTCAAATAACCAATTTCCACCTCAATGTAATTCTCCAAGTAGGAAATGAAAATAGATTTGATAAGCTTAGACAAGAAAGTCTGCTTATCAGTGCCCAAGTTAAACTCCATCAATTTGCTTGAAAGATTAGTCGTTCTTTATGCAAAGAAAACAAAGAGAGAAAAAATGTTGCATTTGTGTGAATTACAGTATTACACGTTTGCAATGCGCATAGCACAATGGGGTCCCGATCCTGACTGGGATATCTGAGCACTACCAAATTTAAATGACAAAAAGCTTTGTATAATTTACGCACCTATGCAATGCTATAAGAAAATGGCAGGCTGTGATTTTCTTGTGGAAACTACATCTTTCAACACTTATCACAACTGCTCCGCAATGCCACTTACTCAAATTTAAGGCCTAGCCACGCCCCCATCATGACATGGTAGGAGTGATGGGGGAGATGGATAAAGGCAGACTTTGGGGTCAGGGAACATGCATATGAGGGCTGTACAATCCTGGGAGTTTGTCCCACTTTCTGCCTCCCTTCTGCATCATGTACTACCACTTACACTCAGCCCATCAGCACTTTGCCCAGGTGCAGTTCTGCTTCTGACACAAGGAATGGGCTGGGTCTGCTGACTAGCTGCGTCTCTGTGCAACCTTAAAGATTTTGTATTCCTCAGCTGTCTGACTGCACTGGGGGGGACAGACTTGGGGAGAACACAGTGAATGGAGCTAGATAGGAGCTTGTGGCTCCTACAGGATGCAGGACTAGGATTGGCACTGCTGGGCTTCCCTATCGCCCACAGCGCATCTTGGGATTTCTGAGTTAGGGCCAGCTCTAGGATACTGGGGTTTGGACCCTCCCACTCCAGGGATTGTGGATGATAAAGACTCTGCTTCCAAATCTATGCAGTTACAAAGCAAGAATTGAAGTCCTGCACCCCAAACCACAGATTTCACAAATTGCAGACATAACTCCTCCCGCTTCTCAAAAAACAAACAAACGAACAACTTTCTTACAGCTTTATAAATGATTCAAGTGCAGTCAAATTGTCAATTTCACTTTTGATATTACAAGAGTAGGAAGTTTATACTTTGCTAAATAATAATTTGAGGCTCTGATTCCTCAAGCATCTACATATGTTCCTTAAAAGTACAACTGTTGTTTCATAAAAGGACACACAGTTTAAAAAGGAAAAATCAGCAAGGCGGATGGGCCGCAGTCATTCATTTTTTAGAGGAAGGTGGAATATTGAACCTTTCTTCTGACCTCTTCACAAATGAATCTTTTAGAAGACTTACAAAACAGAATGCTAATAATCAAATTATAGTTACCTTGTATACAGCTCATAAAGATTCTTAAGATACTGTTCTGCATCTGACTTCCTGTGTTCTTCTAACTGATCCTTTACATAACTCTATAAAATGGAAGCATAATCTCAGTTAATAGAATAAGAAAAAGCAATATATCATATTATCTTATCTAAGAGTCATACAGATTTACTTTTTAATCTCAATTTACAGACATTTTACATTTAACATCAGGATTCTAGATAAGTGTGTTAATTTAAGAAACTTAGTTTGGAAATGTAAGACACCTGCTGCAATACAGAAGGCACTCACTTGTTTTTGAAAAAAATCCCAGAACTGAATATGCACAAGACCCAAAGCTTCTGATTTTCATAGCAAAAAAACCTGGAGCTCTACATGCATTCTTAGTACACAATGGAAATGAACACAAATGATGAATAAGTAAATGATTTAGATCCACTTACAAGCTCATGAGTAAACAAACCTCTCCTTCTCCAAGGAAATTAAATCTAAGGAATCTTCAATTTTATGAGTGGGCTCTACCAATATTGTTCTAGATAGGAAGAATAAAATCTTCCCCATATACAGGGAAGTAACTTTACACAAGTCATCATGCTGACTTTATTCACGTATTCCAAGTATTTGCCCAATAAGGGACAGTGATTGTCAGGAACATCAGATTTTCATATTACTGCTGTATAAGCTGTTGGACCCTATTCCTTGGGATACATTATTCTGGCATATTCAATTCTAGCTTTACACTGGAAATCTGACCCCAAGAGTGAAAGGATTAAAGATATTTACTAAAGATAAAATCTCTCTTCTCCCCAAATTTTTGATGTTGGATCTTCAGAGATAGACTAAGTATGTGCATGACATAATTGGAATTATTAATGAATGTACCTATTCGTCCAGTTTAAAGTCTACATGTATTTGTATTTTATGTATTCTTGATTACTTTTTGCTTCTAGTATATAAGCAGCTACTTTAACAATTACAGCAAATATATCAACTAAGGATATTAAAGAAGAGTAAAATGTGATTTTTCCCCCCATGATTAAGGTTACTCAGAAAATATTACAAACAACATAGATTCTTCTGGAATTTTGCTACTAAAAGGGTTTAAGAATGAGTAAAAAGATTTCTTAACAACAAACTTTAATATGATAAATGTAAAATACCTGAAGTTTGATTTCAAAGATATTTTGAATAAGTTTGGCCAATACAGTCTCTGGACTACTAAAGATATCTCCAACTTGTTTGTTCACTCGCTGACAAAGGTTGGCCGTATCTTCAAATATATCAATCCTCAAGTAAGCTCCCTAGAGATTAAAGGCACATTACAACATAAGATATCCAGACTAACAAACGTGAATAATAGTAAAATGTATGCACAAATAATTGCAAGTAAAAAAAAAAAAAAAGGTAGTTTAAAAAATACATTACCTCTTGACATTGTTTTATGTATACATCAACACAGTGGGAGTACCCCTGAGATTGGAAAAACAACCCAGAATTAAAAAATGTTTTTTATGCTTACAGTATTGTGAAATGTTATTATGCAAAGAATTAAACAACAAAAATGCAGTAATTTATGGAAAATGGCCTGCTCAGTTTTAATAGCATATTTAGCAAAATGATGAACGTTAAAAGTATGGATCAGCTTCAATACTGAATTCATTCAGAACAAGTACTTAATTCATCATGTGCTTTCAGAGTTAAAAACTCAGCCTTTACCTTGAAGTGAAGTAAAACAGCTGCTACTTCACGCATTCTGGAGATTTCCCCCCTTCTCTGTGCATTGGTAAACTCCTGAATCAGCTGCAACTCTAAATCATGGTACTTACCTGAAAAGGAAAAAAAATCCATCAGGCTTTGCAAGTAATTGGCAAAGAAATAAAGACAGTTGATTGTTGTCAATAAAAGCAGATTAAACAGCAAAGAAACACAAGCAAAATAGGTTGAATGGGCGGGAAAACTTACTTGCTATTTTTGATTTTACTTCAGAAAACCTGTTAAATCAAAAAAATGTATTATTAATCAAAACTCACAAAACAAAAATGTAAGTAAGTATTAACATGTTAATTGAACACCGTGGCTGTCAATTGTAGTTAGGGGTTAATATATAGAGCAGCAAGACAATGATGTTTCATGCTTTATCTGTAAAGAAACTAATTCACAACATACAAATAAGCTCACTCAAATTATGTTATTTACAGCAAAATTTATCAGTTACTTTGAGGTGTATGTTTAACCATGATCCTAAATACATGCATATATACAAATATGCTCATCTCAAAAACTATTAAAGAAACCAGTTGAGGAAAGGCACGAAGAAAAAATCTGATATTACACAATAAAAGTATAGGTTATCCAAATATGTAAAATGTATTACTTGGATTTTACCTGTCAAAAGGTAATTCCTGTGCAATCAGATGCAATTTCTGAATAATATCAGCTGCTTCTTTTATCTGTTGGGGGAGAAAAGTCACACGTTTACTTAAAAAAAAAATCTAAAAGTTAGGTCTTAAAGGTTTCTCTCTTCCTTACAATTTCCCTCCTCTCCTCTTTTTAAAATTGCTTGGTATAAACAAGGAATGTAACATCTGCTTCAGCATGTTTTTATTATGTCAGATCAACCTTCATTTATGTACTAGTAGGTCATACATTATTTTATGTAAGCACAAGCCTCTTTTTGTTATAGGATCACAATAAAGCATCTTAAATCTGTAAAAACAGCTAGCTCATCTGTCTACTGCTACTGCAACATTACTGTGTGCAAGGGATTAAAATTCAACATTTAGCTCAATCTGCCATTCCTAAACTAGAAAGATTTGAGAGTAATGCTGTCACATTCTGCTAAACCCCAGGGTAAAGTGGTTAGTGACCAGTAGAGTCAGGTCAACAGCACTAATAAGTTCCAAGTAAAGCTGCACCTTTTCTTTGACTAGAAAGGGCAATCAGGACATTAACCAGATAATGCACTACAAAGGCAATTTCCCCATCTTTGATATTCATATCTCCACACCAAATTAGGGATGTTAACATGTAGTCCACTACACAATCAATAAGCACTGGTTTATCAGTTAATCTTATCAACTACACATACTCGCCCCCCCTCCCCCGCTCCCTGCTACTTCTTTATCAGAGGCAGCAAGGAGAGGGGGAGCAGGAGTCAGTTCCCGTGAGGAGATGGCTTTAAGTAGGTTCCCCACAAGTACTGGATCCACCTGTCTCCGCACTCCCACGCTGCTACCTCTGATACAGTGGGAGCAGTACAGCGGGTGAGGGGGGCAGGCTGGAGCCGATACATGCAGGGAGCCATCTTTTGGCTCTCTGCGCATGCCAGTTCCACAGACCTGCCTGCCCCACCCCTTGCTATCTCCTACACAGAGGGGGAAGGAGGCAGGAACCAGTGCTGGGGGGAGCTGGCTTAAAAGACAGTCCCCCCAGCACCTGCTCTGCAGTGCATCCTGTGCCCCACCTGGCTCTATTTAAGCCAGCCCTCTATTTAGAGGCAGCAGCGCAGGGGGAGGGGAGGAAGGGAGGCCTGCCACAAAGCAGCCTCTGTCAGCAGCAGCCTGGACTCTGTGGGAAGCAGAGCAGTCTCTGCCATGGGGAGCTTGGACCCCCATGGACGGAGTTGCTGCCAGCCCGCACTGCTGCCTCTGTATCAGAGGTAGCAACGTGGGGCAGCAGGAAACCAGCCTGCACAGGGAACTGGTTTTTAAACTGGCTTCCTTTATGGACCAGCTCCATCAATCAGAGGCAGCAGTGCAGGGTGCTCCCTGGGAGCAGAGCCAGTAGCACCACCCCCAGGGGTGATCAAATAGTCGTGTAACTGATAAGTTTTATTGTGTTTACACGACTACTCAATCATACTATGAATGGGACACATCCAGCCTGACTCAATTAGTGTCTTTAATACTGGCCCTACAATTAACAGGTAACTTCTTTTGCTGTTATATATGCCAAAAATGTTTTAATTTCCATTCTAATTGATCTGATGAAGTGGGTTTTACCCACAAAAGCTCATGGCTTAATAAATTTGTTAGTCTCTAAAGTGCCACAGGACTGCACGTTGTTTTTACGAGTGAAGTTAAAGCAGTTTGCAAACTCCTGCTTGCCCATAGACAGCAAAACTTCTGACAGGTGACTAAGATAATGTGTCTTTTCACTGTCGGTCGTGATAAATGGTGGCTGAAAAGATTTTAGTGACAGGTTTGGCGATCTGCGTTAAAATTATGAGAAATGTGAATCGCAACTTTTGCAACTGTAAACATTGCAGCTGCATGTTACAGAAGCTCTTTGAAAGCTGAAGTTTGACGACAGGTCTAAACAAAGTGGTATGATAGTTTTGGAAGCTTTATTACTACCACCTTGGGAAGTGGAGGGCACCTTGAGGGGATAAGAAATAGCCTAGCCACTGTACATTAAACCACCATCAAAACAATTGTGCTCGAATTTGACAGGATTGAGAAGATATGAACATCATGCAGCCTCTTTGCTCTTCCTGTCAGTTCTGTCTTTTGAGCTGGGGGAGGGTTCCTAGGTACTACTATATGACAAGTATTTTTATTTTTTCCCATAATTATTAGCCAAATTCTTATGTCAGTGTTTCCCAATTTTATTTGGCCTCGGAACCCCTAGAGTTTCCTTAAAAAAAAAAAGGCCCCTGCCACGTTTCATTGAGGAAAAAAGAAAAAAAAAAACCCTCGCCATGGCTCTGTGTCTAACAGGGGGCGGGGGAATGCCGGCTCTTCGCGGAACCCTTGCTTTCGCTTCAGGGATCCCCAAGGTTCCCCGGAGCACCAATTGGGAAACACTGTCTTATGTGAAGGTCCAGAATTAAATAACACCTGTGTACAACAGAAGCCAGGTCAAATCAATTTTCCATGGTTTCTACTTTAATCTGCACATTTAGTTTTCTATTGACTCAGACTTCAATGAACTGTGTAAAATCAAAATAAATATGGATGCTATAAAAACAAGTTAAAGATTACAAGTATCTAAAAAATTAGAAAAATATGGATAAAGATGAACAGGAGGGAACTTTACTAAATAATTGAAGGTAATATATTTTTATCCATGTAAAGGACAAAATACAGAGCAGTAATGCAGAGGATTTGAAGATGACAGCTAACACATTAAACATAAGCACACGGTGCAATGATGCTGCATAAAGAACAAACATTAATCTGGTTATCACTGATAAAATTAAGGAGGTGATTATTTTATCCATCTTTAGAGAAATGACATCTGGAGCACTTTGCTCATATATAGGCTTCTCATTACAGAAAGAGGATTGGTAACCAGTCCCTCAAAAGCAGGGCAACAGAAGTGATGACGAGCGGAAGATATGATTTCATAAAGAGGCTGAAGAAACTGGACACGCATAGTTTAGGGAAGAGAATATAAAGCAGAGATATATCCCATCACAAATCAAAATGGGGGAGGAATTATTTAGAATAATTTTAAAAAGTGGTACTATTGAAAGAACAATCCGAAAATAGAAGAGGGAGGGAAAAAAGCCAGTTAGACTTCAAGAAAGAATTTGCACACATTAGGTCAATAACCCAATAGTTAACCAGGGAAATCATCAAGGAATGATCATTAAGTGTCCCAGAAAGAAATTATGTTAAACACTTTAGTAAAAATGTTAAGAGTAAACCCTGCACTTATGTGGGGATAATGCAAGGGCAATCCATGAGGTGCCATCAGCCTTAAAAGCAGTGATATGTACACGGATATGTGGGCTCTAAGATAATATAACTTTTTGGGTACGTCTAGACTACATGCCTCTGGCGACAGAGGCATGTAGATTAGGCTACCGGACATAGTAAAATGAAGCGGCCATTTAAATAATCGCCGCTTCATTTAAATTTACATGGCTGCCGCGCTGAGCCGACCAACAGCTGATCAGCTGTTGGTCAGCTCAGCGCAGCAGCCATTTAAATTTAAATGAAGCCGCAATTATTTAAATCGCAGCTTCATTTCCCTGTAAACCTCATCCCAGCTGATCAGCTGTTTGTCGGCTCAGCGCGGCAGCCATGTAAATTTAAATGAAGCGGCGATTATTTAAATCGCCGCTTCATTTTACTATGTCCGGTAGCCTAATCTACATGCCTCTGTCGCCAGAGGCATGTAGTCTAGACGTACCCTTAGAGAGCACACAGGATGGCATTCAAATTGTTGTGGGCACAAGGTGATTATAAAGCATATGTCTAAGCAGGTTCTCCCTTATTCCTATAAACATTATCTCGACTCGTGATTTGAATTTGGAACTAATGTTAAAGTTACAGTTCACAATCAAAAGGCAAGCACTCTACTTATATGGTACCTACATAGCATTACTTGGACCTCGAAAATTTAGTTTCTACTTCCAGTTCTTCCACTGGCTTCCTTAGTGACATAACACAAATCATTTGGTCTCTGACTCACATCTCTCCTTCACAACCGCATCTGTAAGATGTGAATGCTACTTCACCGGATAGTGTTAAAATGAATTCATGTTTGTTCAAATCCTTTCTTCACCTTAAAAATCTATTCAAATATTTTGGGAACTTCCAGTGGAAAGTGCTATGGTCTCATTATAAATGGTATGAAAATACTAGCTATTTATCAATGACATGTACTACAGTAGGCTCAAAAGTAACTACTCTAACCTGCTCTATAAGGCTGTGTCTACATTGGCGTGATCTTGTGCAAAAGCGACCACTTTCGCGCAAAAACATGCTCCCTGTCTACACTGGCGGGCAGTTCTTGCGCAAGAACACTGACGTTCTAATGTGTGAAATCAGTGCTTCTTGTGCAAGAATTATGATGGTCCCGCAAGAGGCCAGTGTAGACAGGCAACATGAATTTCTTGCGCAAGAAAGCCCAATGGCTAAAATGGCCATCGGAGCTTTCTTGCGCAAGAGAGCGTCGACACTGGCGCAAAGGCACGTCAGGGCAGACGCTCTCTCACGCAAATACTTTAACGCCAGAACTCTTGCGTTAAAGAGTATTTGCACAAGATCATGCCAATGTAGACGTAGCCTAACATTTCATGTAGTAACATGGGATTTAAGTATGGAGGTGAATGGTAAGCAGTTTTTTTAAAAAGTGTGTGCAAGTTTTATTTCTGTCTAGCTTAGAAAGTTACTACATTTTGACAAATGACTTTTATATATCGATACAGATAAAGTTTTGTCTGCCTGTGATACACTTTATTCAAACATCACTGTGCAACTGGCTGCTATGAAATATGGACATATGAAATGGTTAATTTCTAATTTCCTTATGCTATATTTTCAGTAGTAAGGGGATAACTATTAACCCTGAGCTATGACTCACATCTCCCCATTAGCGGATTCTTCTTGAAATACATCCTTTCTTAACATTTTTGTCAGGCTTGCAAAATAAATTTTTGCCATCCCAAATGCAGCAACTCCTATCCAACATGCTCACCTCACTTTGAGCATTACTTTGGATTAGGGAGATAATCCTTTTGGATATATCTCAAATGTAGCATTCATTTTACATACTGCACGGAGTTATCTCTATATCCTGTTTCCTGCAGTAGCTGGTTCCACTTCTTCAGTTGGTCCTTTCAGTTGAATTGGCCAGTTTGTATTGATTTATGCTTTCACACCTGTCATTGCAAACCAGGATGACTAGAAACTTCTTTATAATTCTTTTAAGAAGTATCCCAGCTTTCATGCCTAATTCCCCCAAATCTCGGGGAGGGGAGAAGACACACCACTGTAGGCTGTACATAGAAAAAACCATACTCAAATTATAAGTATCCATGGCCAGTAGACTGACCCAGAACAACAAAATCTCAGAAGTTGTGTTAAAAAAATGTTATGGATTATTGGGAGGAACTGAAGTCAGGGAGGGGTTCAAAGAAAAAAAGGCAAGAGTTTTCTGTGTGCTTTCTAAAGCTGCCCTCTCAGCATTTTTCAAGTTACTTATAATTTCATAAAATGAAAAATGCCAACATTGCCAAATTAAGAATCATTGAATACAAATGCTTTATCAGCAATCTGCAGGCTAGCGTTGTTAATTTACATTTCAGAACAATGAAACTAACAAGTCAGTCACTTGCTGGTTTGAAGTCTGACCATGGTAAGTCATGGTAACAGCTTGTAATTAGGGCAATACTGCTTACTGCTTTGAACTGCTTTCATCCCGCTGACAGCTCTTACCTTTTCAGAGTTTGTAAAAACATCAGACTTCAGCTCTCCATCCAGAAACTCATTAAAGTATTTCATCAGTTTCTGAGCCTCCACAGCCCGTTGCCGTGGTGTGTTTACCCCCTCCAGTTGGTCACCAAGGTGACAGACCTTAGTTGCTACATAGCTGATGTGCTCATCTAGTTCTTGGAAATGTTGGAAGGCAACCTGAGAGAACACAGACATCCCATAAAATACCCATTTTTTCCCTCTCTACTTAAAAAAATAAAGATCAACCATTGATTCAATCTAGTATCAGTCACAAAGTTAAGCACATCAAACTGGGCACCTAAGTTACAATTTCAGTACCTTCAGAGCTGGAGACAATGCCTGTGACCAGGAAAAAGATATACTTTGTTTAGAGTCTACTCCTAACTGCCCAGAGGTCACTTACTTTACAGTTTTCTGAAGAGCCATGTAACCCAATGGTTCTCATCCCAAGTCTGGATTCCAGCACCAGTCAGCACACAGCTGCATTCCACGTGACATCCGCAGGGCCACACAGGTAGAGTGTGTGTGTGTGTGTGTGTGTGTGTGTGTGTGTATACACACACACACACACACACACACACACATATATATTCTGTGTGGATATAGCTCACACAACTGAAAGAGCTGCATATGCAACCTCCCATGGTAAACAGGTTGAGAACCACTGATATAAGAAAACAGTGAAGATGAAAGGCAACAGTCTATAATCAGGACTGGAATTTTAGGATTTTAAAACTAATATAACAGGTTAGTCACCCAGTACTCAGCTGATGTAAACTGACATAGCTCTACTGAAATTAGTGGACCTGTGTAGATTTACACTGGCTGAAGATCTGACTCCAAATGTTTAACAGAGATATTTATGCAAAATACCAAACACAACATGTAAAGAACCAAAAACAGGAGGGAGTGAGGGGTGCTGGCTCTGGGACCGAGTTTGATACAGGAGGTGGCTCCAAACTGGGGCAAACTCCCTCCAAGAGCCTGCACTCCTTACTCCTGCACACTAACACTTTGTTCCAGACTGGAGCCCTCTCCTTCACACAAGCTCCCTGTCCCAGCCAGATGAAAGTGAGTGAGAGTGGGGAAGAGCAAGAGGGGGTGGAGTAGGCAGGGCTTTGGGGAAAGGGCAGGGTAGATCCCAGACTGCCCTTAAATTCAAAAACTGATCTTGGACATAAAAAAAGTTAGAGACCACTGCCTCATGTATTCTAGAAAGCAGGGCGGGGTTTGCTCTAATACACAGCCATTATCAACTACTGCATATAAAAGATATTATTTTCCTTTCCTTACTTCTCTTTCCTAGCAGATAGTGCCAAAAACTCACAGGAGAGTGGGGAGGTATACTTCACTCTTAATCTAGTTGCAGAAGCTTCCAGCAAGGAACGAAGAAGAGCTGGTCTTGTTAAAGCTGCTTGCATTGTGATTGAACATATGGCTTTCATGAGAACCCCTGCAGTTGTCAGTACCTTCTGCCGAGGCTAAAGAGCCCAGCAATCCCTAAAGTAAAAAGACTCGACTCTCCCCATACTTTCCATACTTTTTTAAAGGACATTGTTTACAGAGACCTGATTGTAAATTATGGTTCCACTGTACTGAAAATGTTTGTATAGGATAAAACAATTTTCATTAGCTTTTATAATTTAACACTAACGATACATCTCAATTCTTACCTGGTTGCTTTTCTGCAGCTCTTGTACTTTTTTGGCAAATTCTTTAGCTTCTTTCTGGCAATGCTGTTCTAGCTTCTCCACCTTTCTCTGAATCCTTTCATCCATTACCTGTAGTTCTTGGATATGATTTACAAATTCTTCTAATAATCTGATTTAAAAAATGATGATTTGATAAAGCAGATTTTAGTATTAAAAGGTTTATCTTGCTACAGTAAAAAATGCATTAAAAGCATAGGGCCTAAGAAACCACTGACCTGCAGGAAGTGTCAAGCTTTCTTTGGATCGTGATTGAACCTAAGAATTTAAGCTTCTGGGTTTTTTAAAGTTACTAGCTCAAGAACTTGTCTCCAGTAGGGATTTTTACAACAGTTTAGTTACGCCAGTACAAAAATTCCTAATGTAGACAGACCTAAGTCTTCTTACCAAAGTGAAAAATGACTGTGCCACAAGCATATTCCCTGCAGTTAAGAGATAACAACAGCCACAGGACTACGCCCAATAACAAAAGACACATGAAAGATCAGGGAACTCTGCATGTGAGGAAATGCTGAATTAGCAGAGAAGAAGATGATAGCATTTCTTCCAGGATGCTGTTCCTGGACCCTGTTGGAAACATCCTTTTTTTCATATTAGCCTCTGACAATTAAGTGTCCAAATAACAAAGTCTTTCCAACCGGATCCAGACTGGAAAACAAACTCTGCTCACCACTCCCATCCCAATGAGTCTCCAGGAAACTGTTAGGCGAAGGGAAAGTGGCATCTTTGCTACTCTACCCCTTCCAGTGAATATCTCCACAGCCTACCCCCTCTGAGGCTTATAGATTATCCAACAAGCAGCTACATGGAACTGACATGATTCTTGTCAGTTTCACCGCTGCTCACAGAGGTCTGAATATCAGCATTTACTTCTGTTAAGACTGACTAGGTTACACTTAGATGTAGCTATGCAGCGCTCCCAGCAGCAGCAGCACTGGAGTTGTCTCTGCAGCCTGCATTAGTTTACATACTGTTCACCTTTCAAAAGTAATCTTTGCAGCTGTAAAACCTCTTAATTTGCTAAAAAAAAAGTTTTAATTTATTCAATGCTAGATTGTGCAGAAGTTCATAGAACTTACCTACGAAAGCTTCCTGCTGGCCATGGGCAATATGGAAAAGCTCCCAAATTATTCTTCTTCAGAATTAAAGCTTATGGTTATGAATGCAGTCTTTAAAATGTGGCCTGAATGTAAACCACCAAACAACGGCTGCTGTTTAAAAAATAATGACTCAAAAGTATGAACCTCTTCCATTCATTTCCATACGTAACTTCAGTTTTGAAGTAGGGATTTAAGAGTTTAACACAGTTAATTGGTAAGCATTAGCTTATCAATTCCAGTTAACGGTTAAACTACGGGCCTGGCAGCGTTTAGCTGTGTAATCAATTTAATTGTAATCGGTTATAGGGTTCATAATTTTTACATCCCTATTTTGAAGTATAACTCCAGGGACAGCACCACTGTAGAAACCCCTATACTAGCTGCTGCAGCGAACATGGAGAATAGGTCCACCAATGGCTATTAGCCAGGATGGGCAGGGATGTCTCTGTTTGCCAGAACCTGAAAAAGGATAATGGAGTAGATCACTTGATGATTCCCTCTTCTATTCATTCCCTCTGAAGCACCAGCCATTAGTCACTGATGAAAGACAGGATACTGTGCTAGATGGACCTTAAATGTGACTCAGTATAGCCTCTCATGTCCTTATGTTCAAGGAGCAGGGCTTCTCACTAGGGGGTTGTCACTAACACCTTATGAACTAAGCCTATATCTAGGTCTTTCATATCTACTTCTGGCATGTTCACCTGTGAGATATCTAACTCTGTGTGTAGACATTTTGATTACAGAATAAGAGTGTCTTGTTCCGGTTTATCTTAATCCACTGAAGATCAAATCAAATAGGAACAAGACACTTTTAATCCAAAATAAGAATATTTGTACATAGAATTACTCAGGAATAGACACTGTGCTTTATGAGCACACCATACCTTAATTAAAGTTAAAGTTAATTAGAAATCTGGCTTATGGTCTCATATTTTAGCAATTCTCACAGTTGGAGATCTTCTTGAATATACAATGACACTGCATATAGATCTGTTACAGATATATAAAAAGAAGAGTTGAAGATTGTAATTTCTTAGCTTTAACACATTTTCTATTTACCTTTTGGGATCAAAAGCTTCTGCTCCACCTCTGGAACCTCCTCCAGGTGTTCTCCATGCCAGACGTTCAATGTACTCATCTGCCACAAAAGGCTCCTACACACAGAATAAAGACTCTTTATAATGTGTCACAGTGAGTAATTTACTACGTTGTTGTTTGTACATCATTATGAAAGTGTTAGAAAACTTTGTTGCAATAAAGACCAAACACTGTTGAAAGTAACCATCACCTTTCTTGTTTATATATGTAATCAACAAATCAGACAATTTAAGGATGACATACTAAACATCTTGTTCAAAAATTGCCAAACTACTATTGATCCACAAAACACTTGCTGGTGATCTGTGAAGAACTAACTGTTAACAGGGTGCTAGCTCTTCTCATTTTCAGACAAGACAAAAAGAGCAGAGGCAAAGGAAGGATTAAAAAAAATAAATAAAAGAGCAAAAGCAGACTGTGATTAACTTCCACAAAAGCAGACAATGCTGATTAGCTTTTTTCAAAAAGGACTAGTACTTGGTGTGCTAATACCAATTTACTGAAATAACTTTTCCATAAAAACAAATGTTGTATGTACCAGAGACATTATGCAACCATGAATGGGGGTGGGGAAAATAAATTATTTCTCTATTCATTCTAGCAAAATTGGTTTGGCACAAGTCCAAGACGTTAAATAGCAACTCCCAGAATTTTGCCCAGAGTAATGCTGAGATCCATCCATGAGGTAAACAACAACAACAACAACAACAAAAAACTCTAAATACACATTTTAATATGCTAACAAAGACTTAGTATACGAAATGTATCATCTGACAACACCCAAGCTCCTCTCCCACGTAGCAGCTAAGTCATGCTGTGAGTTAGGAGACCTTAGCCTTTCATTTGTAAGACCTGGTCTATATTACAAAGTTCAGTCAACATAAGGCACCTTGCAATGATTAATTTTTGCATGTAAGGTCACTTACATCAGTTTAAGAGTCCCCTTCTGAGGTTTGTGAGTTCAGATATTGTGTTATATATGTCAATTCTAATAGTCCTTCACCAACTGTTCCACGGTGACCTACACTGTCCATTCTGCTTACAATTAACTCCACTGCTCAGGGATATTAGAAACCAGCAGCCAATACACCATCACCATAAAGCCCCACAAAATTCTGAAATGCTTTCAAATGACTGTCCAGCTTGGTGAGCACACTTATGCACAATAATGGAGAGAGCTAAATGCCTAGCTGACCCTGCCAGCTCCAGGATCCATATATACTCCAGACTGGAACAGAGAGGAGATATTGATCTCCAGTGCCTGTGGGGAGAAGAGGGTTTGCAGGCACAGCTATAGCCCAGCAGTAGAAATGTGAACATCGACAAGCAGATTGCACAAGAATTTGAAAGTACTGAAGAGGTCACACAGGTAGCCAATAGTTGATCCAGTGCAGAGGCACACAACTCCACTTTCACAACAAACTGCATGATATACTTGGCAGACACCCCATCACTACTCCACAGACCACTGATGATACTTCCCAGGGACCTGAGGCAGGGGTATGGGGGTGGGGAGGAGGCAGTTGCCCCTGGGAGCAACGCTAGGGTGAGCACAGGAAGAAAGACGCAGACAGGTCTGGGGACCGCCCAGCTCTGCCGCAGGAGCTGCAGCCACATCAGACGTGCCCACACTGTTCTCCCTACACTTGCCCTAGCATTGCACCTGGGGGCAACTCCCCTCCCCCGCTATGCCCCAACCTAAAGCATGGGCACCTGAAGTGAACAGTGAGGAGGAAGTGGTAGAAGAGGACGAAGGATGTGCAAGCTGGGGATTCAGCTATGACATGAGCCAGAACCTATCTGAGACTCCACCACAGTCCAACTGGTTCCGGAAGTCACATGTAGGTGAACCAATGTGGGAAAGGGAACCTTAGGAAAGTGTATAAATGTATTTACCATTACAATAATGTACTGATGGATCCCCAATTTAACAGGGCACAGCTATCTACTTTTCATTAATTTATTTGTACAAGAAGAAGTACAGTACAACAAGAAGCAGAGTTATCTGTTTTTCATTCCCCTATAGAGTTAGGCAAGGGGGAGTGGAGATTGCCTATCTCCTAGAACTGGAAGGGACCTTGAAAGGTCATCAAGTCCAGTCCCCTGCCTTCACAGCAGGACCAAGTACCATCCCTGACAAATTTTTGCCCCAAATCCCTAAATGGCCTCTGCAAGGATTGAACTCACAACCCTGGGTTTAGCAGGCCAATGCTCAAACCCACTGAGCTATCCCTCCCCCTTACATGAATGCATGTAGAGCAGTTTATGTGCACAGGATGTCCCTTAAATCCACCTGAGAGTTCTCAATCAACTTTCACTGAAATACTCTGTAACCCTTCCCAAAAGACTGCTAGGGATGATGGCCTTTTTAATTTCTCTGCAGGAGGACACTTTCCGCACCAGGCAGCAGGAACTTCAGCAGCAACCGTTCCAGTACACATGCTGGCAGCACACAGCCCAAGGCAGCTTCAGGTCACCAGCAGCAGCTGTTCACTTTGTGTGTGTCATCCTCAGGAGCGAGATATCAGCTAAAATCACCCCCACATATGGAAAATGGGGCCAGTATTCAGTGCCATTGCCCTATACTTATAGTTTCATGCAATTGAGCAATTCCCTCCCCCTTTCCTTTATTCCTGGCAGGCCATTATCACCAGGGCTTGTGTTAGGAGTGGCACAGAGTTGACAATTTTGGCTGAACATATTCCTGGAAATTTAATCATGTGACATACTCTTTCATTAAAGATTAATCTTTAATTTCTGGAGACTCCAGGCCAATCCTGGAGAGTTGACAACTGTAGAGTGCCATCATGCACAAGCACCCTGAAATGTAAGTGCCAATGAGCATGCTTTGCTTAAAAATTTAGGGGAGCCCAAAATGGTCACATCAAGTTACTGTAACTGAATTGTACATTGATTTGATTGATGTTCCAGTGAGTGATACCTGATTTTGAAATTGATAAGGTCACTTTCAGAGTTACACAGCACATTTGCAGTTGAATGTATAAGCTTGATAAGAACGGAAAATATTTACTGAAAATAGATTAAATTTTAACTGTACCGAACAATAATCTATTGTAATAGTTTACAGGCAGTCCCCGAGTTACGCGAATCCGACACCTGGTCCCGCCGCCTGCCTCCTCCGGGGCGAGAAAAGCTGCTCCCCGTCTCCCTGGTCTGCTGGGGGAGACGCGGAGCAAAGCGGTGGAGGACCCGGGCCGGACCCACGGCGCTGATCTGGAAGCGCCGCGGGTCCGGCCTGGGTCCTCCGCCGCTTTGCTTCGCGTCTCCCTGGTCTGCTGGGGGGGGGCGCAGCTAGGGTACGTCTAAACTACATGGCTCCATCGACGGAGCCATGTAGATTTGTTGTTTTGGCAAAGGCAAATGAAGCC